AAGAAAAGGCTACATACAGAAAGCCACCAGAAGTCCACTTATTTATCACAATGTGCGATACCCACAGTGGAAGGTGAGACCCTAAACAGAAGGCATCTTTTGGTCACTGCTATACCCCTAGAGCCTAGAGCAGTGCCCAGAAATGGGAAGGTGTCCAATAAAAATCCATTTTGTAAAATGGATGAATACAGAAACACAGGGAATTGTATGTAGTATAAGCTGTATAAACCGAAACACAACTCATTTTAAACAAGTTCAAGTAACACTGGAGAAAAACTATCATAATTATACTGCAGGCATGTAAAACATAAGAGAACAATATTTGTAAAAATTAAACACTGCGTTTGTGAGATGGTGTTAAATAAAGGGATGGCGTGTAATTTATGTGATAACAGCACCACAGTGTTTTGCAACTGAGTAATTAGGTAGAGAATTTGTGTCTGCTTCTACATTGCCAAACTCCTTTCTAACAAATGTTTCTACATATCTCTTCATAGTTCTTTTCAACTTTTTACAACCTATTGGGCAAGGGCAGGGGGAGGGGACATGATATTCCCTAAGGCGTTTCTCCTACTCAGTAGAGAACTACTGCAAATTTCAGTTCCTATAATCTACTAATGAATGAAAGGGAAAGACAGAGATGAAAGAAAAAAATGAATCTTTGAACCAAGCAATTGGGAAAACAAAAAGTCCATGTTAATTCCATAGAGTTCAGACCTGTCAGTGAAGTGTCCATAAGGAGATGCAGATTGGCATCCCCCCAGCTATCATCATACCATTTCTCTTAAAAAAGAAGGAATTTCAAAAACAAGCAAAGGCAATAATTATGATAGCCTGTTCTAACAGCTATTTTAACTTAGTTACTGATTCAGTAGAAGGGACAGATTTAGAAAAAGGTGAAAGAATTACTGAAAATATATTTGTAGGGATGCTTGACACAGAATCTTAAGGACACTTTCTGGAAGTAGAGAAAAAGCTCTGGAAAAGATTAACAATAATCCACAAAATTAGAGTACACTTCCAGACAGACAGAGTTGAAGGAATGTATGAGAAATAACAGTTTCAAACTGTTTTCCAAACATTGTCCCCTTTATGCTGAGTTTGCAAATGGAATCTAATGTTTGCACTAGATCATACTCTGGCAATAAAAGTCTACGTTAAGAAAAAGGGATTAAATGATACTGTAGAATTCAATTTAATTTAAAAATTGAGATCTTAGCGCAAAAAAAAAAAAAAAAACCAGTAGCTATAGTTCAGAACTATGCACAATTAGTAACAGTTCTTCAAAATTTCAAAATGTATTACTACTAATCATGATTATCTTAACTTTGCACTTAAATGTTGGCACATTTAAAAATGTTCAATGAGGGAAAAGATCACTTCCAAATGAAAGTTAATCACAAAAAGAGGTATGATAGTCCCAAGTTGCAGGATGATGAATTCAATGCTGTTGAAGGCTATTTTTACACATTTTCCAACTCCATAAACATCTTGCTGTCTTTACCTAGATGCTTATCATTTTTTAAAGAAAAAAAAATACCCTTAGAGCAGTGTTTCACTGTATGTAGTTTCTGATACATGTGGAGGCCTTATATAAATGTGGATTCCAACATTCTATCCCCAGAAATTCCAAGTCCGCAGTCTGAAACGAGCCCAGATATCTGGAATTTTAACATGCAATTTACATAATGGCCTTAGGAATAGTAAGCCATCTCTCTTCTTTACATGATGCCATTTAAACCTAAAGACATTAACTTAATTACCTGAGCCAATTAGTAGCAGAGAAAGAATGAAAACCCGGAACTGCTAGCTCTGTCCAATCGTCTTTGCTCTAAATGAATGTTGGAGCTTCCTTTTAAGTAACTCTTCAATATATGCTACCTTTCCACCTTTATCCATTACTTGTTTCCTCTCCCTGGAGTGACCTCCAAAGTAAATTTGTAAAACTATTCATCAACAGAAGCAAGAAGAATGAATATAATTCATATTTAGGGTAGTGTAGGTCAATTTTCCTTATTTTTTATTCTATTCACACTACAAATTATGTGGGCAATAAATTCACTATTTTTTTTTTTAATTTTTAAAACTGAAAATAGTTTAGCTTTGATGCATGGAACTCAATTAGATCCAACGCAAATTTAGATACAGAAGTTCAAAGCTAACACCTCTTACTTTTTTTATTTTTTTACTATAGAAGTATGATTGGTATGTTATATTAGCTTCAGGGATAACACCTCTTACATTTTTATAAGTAATTTTTTTTCCATATTTAAAAAAAGCACAAAATTACCTAATGTGTTGTATATATAAAACGTTTAGAAGTAGCACTGAATGATTACCTTTTAGTGCTTTTATTAAATGCAAGCTTAAAGCCCCCTGCATTCAGGAGAAAGACTCCCCATTTAGCACATCACCCAAGTTCTTCACACAATCTGCTCAACCATGTGAAAAACCAATAGGCAACTTTCCTCTAGAGAGAAAGGCATACACCAGGATGTAAACACAGATAAAACTGGAATGATAAGTTAGGGCCTAAACATAGAAGGCCTTCCTTAATTTAACCATCCAGTCCTGAGCCAACTAGTTTTTTAAGACTTGACTCAAGATCAAGTCCCTTAAGACCCAGCTCCATATAAAATGATAAAAAATTTTTAAAAATAACACATACACAAGCAACAGTATGTACTTCTTAAGGGTATATATAAAGGCATGTTAATGCATAGAAAAGGACCTGAAATATACATGCACTGAAAGTAGGTTTATGTCTCAAAAGATGAGGAGGGGTCCAGCATTAATGCTTTAACTTTTAAGGAGAATGTATTCATTACTTGTGTATGTGGAAGTGTTTCTAATCCCCAGACTTCATTAGTTGCCCTTTTTTGCACTTTTCTACAACTCCTGCATAAGCCTAATAAAGCACTGGGTTCGTCATCCATCACAAACAATGGTCTTGTCAGACTTTTCTTCCTGGAAGACAGGACTTGAGTCCTAAGCAAGCGCACCCACTTGCAGAATGCCTCACCTGGTAGAATGTGTATTACTCAATACACACTTATACTCTGAACCTCCTAAGCAGCTAAGTTATTCAAGGAAAGAAGCTTAGGCTATTTCTAAAAGGTCACAGGCCAGAAATTTTCAACATACACTTTAAAAAGAAAGTTTGGTATAGTTGCTAAGATGCTACACTTAGAGTCATAAAGTTCTGGTTTTGTTATGTATGACTATCTACAATCCTTACACAATCTTCATTTTCCTCATCTATAAAACATGGAGGAGAAGATCTTCCTCCTACATTTGTGGGCAAGATTAAAAGGAAATGTTTATAAATTAATTAGCACAATACCTGGTACTCACCAGATGATAGTCATTCTTATGCTTTTTATGTTCAATTACTAATATTAAAGCAATAATTTCATACAGTTTCTTTCTAATCAGAGAATGTTAATAAAACTTTAAAAAAACATCTATTTTGGGAAAATAACATAAACTCAGACAATCTAGCTAACGGAAGCGATGAAACTAATAATGTGAAGTCCATCAAATCCGTGCAAGTAAAAAATGAATACCTCAATTAATCTGGCAGAGTAACTTACATACCAATAAATGCAAATTATGCATTTTTAAACTCCATTCCAATGAGAAAAGTTTTAATCATCTCACTTCAGACTGAAAATGTTCATTCAGTTCATACACATTATAAGCTTTACATCACTACTATTCTTGAGGAATATGTTAACTATCCAAGTTATTAATATGCCAACAATGCTCAATGATGCCTTCCACAGTTAACTGGCTAAGAAATCTTATCCAAAAAATATAATCAATAAGATCACACTGAAGTTCAGAAGATGTTTTAAAGATCTATAGTTAATATTTTTGAAACTAATGTTTGTTTTGAGTTGACATCTGTATTTGTTATGAAAACAGTCAGCATTTATATCCCAGCCTATCATAATTCATTATATGTCATTAATGAGTTCATCTTAGATCAGATATCCAAAGCACACCATGCAATTCCACAAATTACTAAGCATCTAGTATATTCTAGGCTAAAGGATTAAGAATTCATTCCCCAAAAGGGGTATTTTCTTATACATATTGAAAGCCAGATATGCTAGGGGCACCTGGATGGCTCAGTCAGCTCAGGTCATGATCTCAGGGTCCTGGGATCGAGCCCCACATCTAGCTCCCTGCTCAGTGGGGAATCTGCTTCTCCCTCTCCCTCTGCCCCTCTCCCTGCTTGTGTGTGTGCATGCATGCGCGTGCTTTCTCTCTCTCAAATAAATAAAATCTTTAAAAAATATATAAAATAAAATAAAAATCAGATATGTTAGAGAAAGGGAAGTCTACAGAATCAAATAAAGTTAACAGAATTTGTTAGAACTTTAATACCAGTCTCCTCAAAACACTGAACTTCTCTACTAAGTCTTTCTAATATTAACCAAATTCAGTAAGTCAACAACTCAAGTCTACTTCATTTATATGTGGTGCATGTGTATGTATGTGCATATATGAACCACTTGCCTATAGTGAATTATTTCCTCTGCAAGCAACATATCTACTTAAAAAAAAAAAAAATGCTGGAAACTCAAGAAAACATGTTACCTGTGCCTACTCTTATAATTTTCTATTACAAAAGAAACACAACAGGTGCAGAACTGTGCCTATTTCATCAATAGCTGTAATGGTTAATTGGTTGATTGTTACCTCATATAGTGTTATAACACTACAGCTAAAGAATACCCTTCAAAAATTATTTTCAAGATTTTATTTTCCCAGTCCCTTAAAAAGGTGATGTCTAGCTTCAAATTTGATGTAGATTACTTTCCTGTCACTGAGGAACTGAGAAAATTCAACAAAACAACTCTTTCTTTGTTACATTTGGTGCAGTACTCAAGGCAAAAGCAAGGCGCTATAAGTAAAAACAATAAGTCTAAAAAAGCCACAGTTGTTAATGTAATCAAGGCACCGCAATTTGCAATTACTGTAACAGAGCTCACCTGTTCATTTTTGCAAAGCCACACACTGTTTCCACTTAACACAGTAAAAATTTTGGCTTTATACCCTCTCAGTTCAAGATATCCACATTTCTCAGGTGCAGCAGCTGCTTGAGACTGCAAGGCAGGGGATTGTGATTTCAGTGCATTTAATAGTATGCTGATCCAGTCATTTCTCTCCTCTGAAAATGAAGACAGGAGAAAATACATACATCCATACTCATATAAATTATACAGGCACAGAAACATGGGCAAAGGATCTATTTTCCCTGTAACACATAATTTACAGATTCATTCCCACAACCACAATCTAAATGCTACTACAGTGAGAGCCCTATGGCCCAATTCTGTAAGAGAAAAGAAATAACACTACCCAGGTGTTCTGTAATCAATACTACTGGCCCCACCTCGGAGCTTATTAGAATGCAAAATCTCAGGCCCCACTCAGGACCTGATGAATCAGAATCTTCAGTTTAAGAAGATCCCCAGGTGATTTGAATCCATGTTAATATTTAAGAAGCACTCTTATAGATTATTCATGAGATTGGATTTTCTCTTTTAATAGAAGTAATACTGACACGAGTTAACAGATTTTATCTGGCAATTAAGTTGCTCAAAGGCCCAGAAAATCTTACTTCTGTTACTTAGAGCCTACTCTACTTAAGAGTATGCTGACTTGATATTCACTCATCCTTCCATTCTCACTACAGTAACAATAGCATCTCATTTGGTAAATTAAAATTTGGTTTTCTCCCTCCACAAAAGCTAAGTGACCTTCAACTATGTATAACACACTGTGTTACAGACACAGGACTCTGATATAGTCCCCAAACAGCAATCAAAGTTGTAAGTCAAGTTATATATGAACATAGAACACAGAATACTATAAATGTCATACAAATGATATCAAATAAAATATGAGTCAGTTCAATGGAAGTAAGTCATTTGCTGAAGGTCATACAGCAAGTTAATATTAAAATTAGGAGAATCAAATGTTTTAACTCAGACAACTGTTCTCAGCACTATGAAAAGAAGTATTTGCACTAGGTCTTGGAATGAGCAGCATTTGAAAAGACAAAACTGGAGTTTGGTGAAGGAAGAGCAGAACTTTATGACTCTAAGCAGAGAAAAACACAAGAACAAAGGCAGAAAGAACCAACATCTGCTCAGAGACTAACTTATAGATAAGCATATTGATAATTTTGAACTCAAGAGGAAATAGGAAATATGGATAGAGCTTCTGCAGTACCTGTATGGAATTTTGCCTCCAAACTTTTTTACAGAGGGAAGAAAAAAACAAAAACAAAAACAAAAACTCAGGATTCTTAGCAAGGAAATGACATGATTAGTATGATGATAGGTAGACCAAACTGAAAGCCTGGGGAGGATCAGGACTAAGGCAAGAGAGGCTTGAAGTACAATGAAAATGGAAACAAAAGCATATCTGAAGAGTCAAGACCTTAAGTGACGGAAAAAACAGCTGAAGTTTTAAATATGTTTGACAGGTATTCACAAAAAAATATAAATTATCAGAATAAAAGTTAGCTTAGTACAATGACTTGAGCAAAGAAGGTGGAAGATTCCATTTTATTAACAGAACCACCTCAGGTTTTCAGTGCCCTAGCATGAGCATCCAGGTGGACAGCAATGCGTGAATGAAGGTAACCTACACAAAAGAAGATCCATGGAAGTAGATAAATGTTTAATGTGAAAGGAGAAGAAATGGGACAAATCCTAAGGTACAACTCTATCTATGAGGCAAGAAAATGGGCTGGCAAAAAACAAAGAAGTGATTATCAAGGCAAAAGGAACAAAACAAAACAGGCTGAATTCCAGGTAGGAAAAATTATCAAGAAGGAAGAAGAAGGAAAGAATAAGCAGAGCTCAAGCTTGGAAAACCGGGGTAGTATCTCAGATCTAAGGTGTGGAAAGAATTACTCCATTATGGATTCAAAATCTCTAGATCTTGGTCTAGGTCTCCAGATTAGACTTGCTCCCATTCAAACATGAACCCTAAGTTATTTTATAATGAGCCATAATTTTTAAATTATCTTTATTTTTCCCTCACTCTCCAAACTACTAAACACATTTGTCTTTAATGACCAAGGCCAAAGTATTTATTTAAACTCATTCAACAATGCTTTAGGACAATTACATAGTCCCCAGGTAATAGTTCCCATGGATCAGGAAGAAATATTTACCCAACTTCCCCAGCATCATTAGAAACTAAAACACATGAAAATGTCTCCATTTTATATCTACACGAACAGATCCAGACTGCACTAGGATAATTTATATTTTCAGGAACAACAACAAACCTTCCATTGGTTATTACTTGTGATCATTAGTTTCACACAAGATACTCCTGCCAAGTAAACAACACAATGTTTTTTGTTTGTTTATATTAATCTACATAAATCATGTAGTTTGAAATGTAGGTCATGTTTTATTGAAAAGAAACCCAACTTAGTTTTTTTTAATTTTCTTTCAATTTTCATTGACATATAATCAACAGTGTTCTATTAGTTCCATGTGTACAATATGCTTCAAAACTTCCATATGTTACTCAGCGCTCATCAAGGTAAGTGTACTTTTAATCCCCTTTACCTATTTCACCCATCCCCTCCCCCACCTCCCTTCTGGCAACCACCAGTTAGTTCTCTATATTTAAGAGCCTGTTTTTCTTTCTCTTTTCTTTCTTTTTTCATTTTGTTTTGTCTCTTAAATTCCACATGAGTGAAATCACATGCTATTTGTCCTTCTCTGACTTGTTTCACTTTGTAGGTCATAACTTTATAAATTAGGCCAAAGTGTTTGTGGCTTCTACCTTGCTCTCAGCATATATCTCAGTTTCTCAGGAAAATAATTTGAAACTGGCAATTGCATCTGTTGGACTTAAACATATGATGGCTGCATCTAAACAAATGGTTCTCTTACAGCCTAGAAGTATTGTCTAGCTCCTGAGGGCCTCATTTACTAATAGGAAGTAAACAGTCATGAATAAGTATGAGAATTAATAGTAACATTCAGTTTATTCTTAATTAACCATGCCAATGCAGATAATCAGTGATACAGATCATTCAAACACAATAAAATAGATTACAAGCATCACTGATATTTGGCTATGCAACGTGTGTGTCCTTAGACACAGGGAATATGCTTTGGTAAGTCACAATATTCCAAATCAAATACTGATCTTCCCTTAGGCTAAGTGTCTTGGGCAAAGCTAGTTATTATACTAGCTTCTGCCTGCTCTTCACACCAAGGTGCTTTTATTCTTTCCAATAACAAACGTTTACTGTCTGTCTTGATCTTAGCACTGTGCTAAGCACTATTCCTTAGAGAACTGCCCTGACCTAGATATAGCTTTGCTCAAAGTAGAGCATTCCAGATTGGAAAAAGGAAAAAAAAAAAAGCGGGGGGGGGGGGAGGGATTAGAGAAAACAAAATCACCACTTTCTTATAATTATGCTAGAATATAAATAAAATAGCAATTCCCTCAAACCAGTTCTTGAGGTTTTCAGGAATGTATGCCAACTACTGTAAGAATCAAAAAAGTGAAAAAACAAACAAACAAAAACCAAAAAGAGACAATATTGTCTGACCACTAGATTTAGCAGTAGGCATATTCATTAGTAACATAAAGGACTGATTATCCTAGGGATTACTACATAAGGGCTGTGTAAAAGATTAGTAACAGAATCTAACAAAGTCTAGATGGACCTTTACTTTTGATATGCTAATATAATTGAACTAAAGATTCCTCAACATAACCCATGATCAATTTCAGAGAAGGAAGTATTTGCACACCATGACTGTTCATGAAATCAAGAGCCATTCATTTGTACAAATATTAACTGAGTGCCTACTGGGCTTCAAGACCTATTCTGAATACCAGGAATGGAAGCATGAACAAGACAGACCACAGCCTTAATCTCCTGAAGTTTGCCCTCTTGTGAAAGGAGGAAGGCAATAAAACATAGATATATAATGTATTACACAGTGACAAGTGCAATGGGACAAAGTAAAGCAAGGGATGAGGGACACAGGAAGTGCTACCTTATACTTGATACTAGAAAAAGCCTCAGAAAGAAGGCAATGGTCAAGCAAAAGTGATGGAAGTGATAGAGCAAGTCAGGAGGATGGCTGCAGGAAGAGCACTCTCAGATGAAGAAAGCAAGTGTCAGTGCCCTGGGGTTGACATGGGGGTTTGACATGTTCAAGAACAAGAGAAGAGCTGAAATGTAGTGAGCGAGGGAGAGCACGGGAGGAGACAAGGACAAAGAGACCAGAGCCAGATCACATAGCGGCTCTTGGACGTAAGTATTTTACTCTTAGGGAGATGGAAAGACAGCACAGCATCTGAAGTGGACTGACGTGATCAGACTTCCTTGATGCATGATCGCTGACAGCTGTATAGAAAACAGGACTATAAGTCAATCAAAGGAGTTTATTACAATAACCCAGAGAGAGGTGGTGGCTTGCATTAGACTAGTAATGACAGTGGTGTCAGAATCGATCAGAATCCAGATATATTTCCAAAGTCAAAAATGATCAGATGTGCTGATGGACTGGATGTGCGATATGAGAGGAAAAAGATTCAAGAATGACTCCACAGTTTGTGACCCATTACAACAGTCGGCCAATTTATACAACGGAGAACTTTTAATTCCCCTGGCTTTCCCTCCACCTAGTAAATGTTCCATTTACAATGTTCTAAAACATTAAATATTTTGGGCACCTGGGTGGCTCAGTGGGTTAAGCGTCCAACTCTCGATTTTGGCTCGGGTCTCAGGGTCGTGAGATTGAGCCCTGTGTCAGGCTCCACGCTCAGCGCCGAGTCTGCTTAAGATTCTCTCTCTCCCCCTTTGCCCCCCTCCCCACTGTACTCTCTTTCTCCCTCAAAACAAAACAAAAAACAACACTATTTCAAGACAGGCAAGTCTGCTTGCCCACAATAACTAAGGGAAATTTATGGGTTTCTTACCAAGTGTTCCTTAAAACAAACAAACAAACAAGCTTGGCATCATCGCTGCCACTGGAGGGCTGTAAGATGCTGTCTGGAAACAGAGTTGAGTGGAAAAACACCTGCCTGCCTCCCAGGGATCCAGGACCAGCTGAGATAGACAGGAACATGAGACTGCAGCTGAAACCCAGCACTGAAAATGGCCCAGGAACACAAATGACCACTCAGAATTCTTAAGCCCTTTCCTCACTGTAAGAACTGCGAATTCAAAACATCACCTGCTTTTTGAAGTCATGCATCTGCGTGTGTGACCACAGCTGCCAGGGGAATACAGACTGGAGAGACCATTAGCTGTTATGACCCTATGATCAGCTCCAGTGGTTCTGCTTCAGGACAAAGGAATCCCACTAAATTTTTTATTTGAGGAAGAGTATTTTTAAAATGTTATTATTTCAACATAATTCACTTTCAACTAAGAGCATAACAATACTTCACTAGGAAACCTGGGGAAATTGAAGCCTTTGAAAAGTTGTGGGGAAAAGACGCCAAATGACAATCCTGTCTTAGCAATGCCAATGGGCAATGCAACAGTTTGGCAACAGGGACCCTGCCTTCAGAGGAGACAAAGGATAGGCCATTCAGAACCTTCTCACCAAAAAGGGAGAATTCATTTCTGCTAGGATGTCAACTCATTTCCCCTTTGTGTTCTAAACTTTTGTCTTGCTTCTTGGTTAGACTGAAGTAAAGTTTCTTTTGGCTTAAAAGTTAAGTCAAATAGTTCATAAGCCACTATGATTGATTTCTTAGTTCCCCCAAAGTAAAAAATAATCAACCATCTGTATACATGGGAGGAGGAAAAAACAATAAAACATACTTAGTATCTTGTTGAAGGTGCCATACTAAATATATAGACACACATATACTATTTATACACACACACATCTCTACATTTACCTATCTTTAAAAACGTTAGTTACGACATTAAAATGACTTTGTTTTTAAAAAAAAGATCTTATTTATTTATTCATGAGAGAGAGAAGGGGGGGGCAGAGGGAGAGGGAGAAGCAGACTCCCCGCTGAGCCGGGAGCCAGACGTGGGACTCGATCCCAGGACCCAGAGATCACAACCTGAGCCAAAGGCAGACGCTTAACCAACTGAGCCACCCAGGCGCCCTAAAAATGACTTTCAGTAAAACCACTCAGTAAAATTACTCAGTAATTCCATGTGGATAGTCTCAGTTTTTATTGAAGCAGTATTTTCATGTTTTAAAACTTAAAGACCTAAGACTTATTTTACAAATAATAACTTACACCAAAGTTTTAATGAAATTCTTATGCTGTTTCTATCATAATTATGTGATACATGAACTATGAACCATATATGAACTATGTATCACAGCATGTAACTTTTAAACATGTGGGTTGATATATTCTACTTTAATGTGTCTGTTTACCTTTTAACTACAGTAAGTAAATATGGCTAAACAGATTTTCACACAGGTGGGAAGTTTTATTTAGTGTGTCTATCTTAAAATGCAAGCTATGCGGCATATGTGAAATTCATTTTGAGAAGCCAAGGGGAAAGTGATAAGCACCTCAAAGAAACAGGCAATCACCTTCTAGGCAGAGGAAACCAAAGCATAAGGAAAGATCCTCACGTTATCCAGTCCAAAGGAGAATACCTTGGGCCTTCCTGGTCACACTCAACGCTGCCACTAAGGCACAAAAACAGCCACAGACAATATGCAACAATATGCAAACGAATGACGGTGACTGTGATGGAACAAGACTTTGTTTACAAAAATAAGCAGTGGCCAGATTTAGGCGACGGGCCATGGTTTGCCAACCCCGACTCGGGGCTATAGACCTCAACGACTTTTTAAATAGCAACTTAAGAAGCACTGTTTCCCCTACATATGTGCAATATTTACACAGGTATGTCTCACAATACGATACTTACTAGAAGCAATGCACTTTAATATTTCTTATTCTATTTCATGTTTTTTCTGTTTTGGGGGATTTGTTTTAGTACCATCAGAAACCACTAAGTTGATTTCACAAATGCATAGCGATGCACAGTTTGAAAAAAGCTGCCCCAGTGTGGACAGCAACTGGAACTTAGGCATTTACTGATTATGCCAAGGAATACTGAAAGCTTTCTATGAATAGGTAGGATTTATTGAATGTTTTCTATGTGCCTTGCACTGGTCTATGTTCTAGGAATCTATCAGTATAAAAAAGACAAATATTGCCCCATAAGATCTAATATTGTTGTAGTTTATAAAAGGGTAAAATGGGTTCTGTGTAAAATGGGATTGTTCTTTTTATAAAATGGGATAATTGTAACACCTACATCCCTCACAAGACTATTGTGAATAATGAAGCACAGATCATTGCATATATCAAGAATTTAGTAAGTTCTCTAAATCACCATTACTCAAATAATTAAGTACCAAGAAGTATTTTCAAAACCAAGTTATAATCTATACTAAAATAAAAGCTTTAAAAAATAAGTTAAAATTATAATTCTTTAATTAATGAGGATGGCCTTACCTATATTATTTAAAAGTAGTAAGGAATATAGTAATAACGTATTGATAGTCAATCAAGTATGCAACAGAAAACTCTTAGCTCTCCTGGATCTCCCTCCTTACCACCCCTCAAAGTCAGAAAAGATCTAAAGATTTAGGGGCGCCAGGGTGGCTCAGTCGGTTAAGTGGCTGCCTTCGGCTCAGGTCATGATCCTGGGGTCCTGGGATCGAGCCCCACGTCCAGCTCCCTGCTCCACGGGGAGCCTGCTTTTCACTCTCCCTCTGCCTGCCACTCTGCCTACTTGTGCTCTTTATCTGTCAAATAAATAAATAAAACCTTAAAAAAAAAAAAAGATCTAAAGATTTAGTCTCTATCCATAAACTGCATGCCATCTAATTTTCACCATCAAGTGACCTACAGCAGAGGAAGAAGGTAAAAAGAATTGAAAAAGTATAAAAGATGCTCCAAAATCTGGACTAGAATGATTATTGAGCCTATGTCTTCAGTTGAACCTGGCATAAGTTAACTTCCCTAGAACCAATCTTTTAATAGTGAGAAAAATTGTTTTTGCATATTAAATAACTACTTTGCATTATGAAACAACAGCTAAAAGGTGGACTCCAAAGGAGCAGAGATTTTTGGGGTTTTTTTGTGTTTTTTTTTTTTTTTTACTGCTATATATCCAGAATTTAGAAGAATTCTTGGCACTTAGTAGATTCTAAGTATTTGCTGCATGCAAGAATAATGAACAAACAGCAAATGACTTGCCAACTTGTTTATGGTATTCAAAATAATATAAAATGTAAATTTCTTAAAAGTAACATATTTTAAGATCTCTTGACGTTTGTAGCTTCACTAGTTTATCAGTCTTCTGATTGGTCAGATATTAATGTCTATGAGTGTTTTTACAGGGATAAAGAAATAATCTTACCTTCTTTTTCTACTCTAAAAACAAAAGTTCTTTGTGTTGTAACAACTTCAAATTTGTTGTCTCCTTGAACCCGTACCGTAGATATAGCAGAAAGGGGAATTATTCCTTTTGAATACTTTTCCTGTATTGGTTAGAGAAAAAGATACACAAACAAGACTGATTAAAATGAAATTCTTGTGACCTTACCAGAAAAAGAATGGTACAATATTTACAAATATTTACAAGCATATTGTGCTTCTTTCATAATTTTAATCTACATTTTTAAAATGACATACAAATAGTATATATCCTCAGACACACTTAACACTCCAGAAAAATGGTCCTTTCACATGAGATGTCTTTTCAATTTTCTCCTCTTCTGGAATTTAAAATTAAAAGGCAAAGTATCAAATACAAACAATTGCACTTAGACCAGCAATGCAGAGTTCCCAAAACCAACTGTATGTTTTTTAAAACTATCTGGTCAAAATGATTTTATGGTGTTTGCAGGCATCTGCTGGCCATGATGGGTACTGTAACTAAACTACTTCAAAACTACTGCTACTGCATGTTGTGAACAAGAGTACATATCAAAACCAGACTGTTGCATTATATCAATTAAACATATTACCCAGTGATTCTAATAATTATCTTAATATCACAACTGCCTCACTTTACCTTTAATTCCCAACAAAAAATGAAAGAAAAAGACAAAAGAATGAAAAAAGATGGATTTGGCTGTTTGCAACTGACATATACCTAATACAATTTTGGCTGTTCGTGACTGGCACATGCATTTTACCATTTTGCTCAAGAAGGTCATTCTGAAGACTCTTGGTAGCTTTCTCAGTCTTCGTTTTTCTGGATCCACCAAAACCATTTGGCATAAGGACCACCTGACAATTTCAGCTATTTACTAAGGGTGAAATATTTACTGGGCCTTGTGTTGGAAAGAAAATTCAAATAGTATTTATACATTCAAGGAGCCTCAAAATGAAAAACAAGCTAATGTAATGACAGAAAAGTTTAAAACGTAGTCCAAACCATGGAACGTATGAGTACAAAGATGGGAACTCCCAACTTCTGCTTAAAAGAGGTCAGATGTTTTCACAGACGTAATGACATTAGAGCCTGACCTGAAGAAAGCTTGAGTTTAACCACACAGATAACTGGTTGGGAGGCTATCCTGGCTGGAAAGCTTTAATAATAATAAAGGCAAAGTAGAGAAATAAGAGCATCCACAGTGTAGAGTCCAAAGAGGTAAAACTGGAAACATACACCAAGGACACATTATGGAAGGTCTTAAATATCAGAAGAGTCTGGATACATCTTTACAGGGTTTCTTCTACTATTTCCTTCCACAGAATGATTCACGGAACCCTCATTTTTTAGCAGATCCCAAGTATCTGAAGCAACTGGTTTAAATGTATTAAACCATTCCATGCAGAGAACAAATGTCAAGGTCATATTCCTCCTAGTGGTAAATTCCTGCCATGCATATCAGATAGGTAAGGGACAGTCACGGTCAGCAGCACGGTGCTTTACTGGGAGGTTATCCTCTGCCCGCTGAGAAGATATACTATGCTATCATGGCATTCCCTCTTAGTTCTTTGACAGTTTCTTCTCTTCCAATGCCTCTGCTCCAATCCCCTATCCCTGACTACATGTATGCATCAAAATCCTATGCATTCTTCAACACCATTTTAACTACCAACGCCACAAAGGCTTTCCCACATCCCCTCACACAGCCGACACTGAACACGGTTTTTGAACTGTAACTGAAGAAGATGAGTGGGCAACCTCACAGAAAAACAAGGATGTCAAGAAGTAGGAAATTTCAAGGTAACTTTTCTTCTCCTTGTTTTCTACTTTTTTTGTTTCATCTTCTCTAAGAAAATCCATTCCTGCTATTTCAACTGCCAATTTTATGAGGAAAATTCTAAAATCTGTCCCTTCCTTATCCATTTTGGTCAACTCCAACCTCATATTTCAAGTTGCACGTAACTGCAATGGTGCATATAACTGTCCCATAAGCACCTCAAACTTTAAATTATCTCCTGAAAACATAACCTCCCCCCCTTTATATCTATTCATTAAAATACTACTCTTCTAGTCAGTCTTAAGTAGTCATTCATTTGTGTGGCTCATTTGCACCCACGTAACTTGGGACTCTCCCTACAGTGACTATGTCAACTTCCTCCCTGGCACTCTCTGATCCTCTCCAGTCACATGAGCCTTCTTTGAGGTTCCACGAACATACCATGTTTCTCCCCAAACTAGTGCCTTTGCTTACTCTGTTCTTCAAGGAATGTCGTCCACATCCAGCTTCACATGGTTCCTGCCTCTCCATCCTTCATATTTCAGCATAAGTATATGCTCCAGAAGAAAGGTTTTCTGACCAGCCTCTTCTCATAGGCCCCCATCCTCACCTAGGCAGATGACCCTAATTTAAGCTAATAACCACCTGCATTTTTCCTTTATAGCAGTTACTAACTATAACTTAAACGGTGATTTTTGTATTTACTGTGTGATCATTTGACTAAGACGGTCTCCCCAAATAGACGGTGGGTCATACATCTATTTTCCTCAGACCTTACACATAATCGGCATTGCAGAAGCTCAATTAATGAATTCTACGTCCAATCAATCACAACCAAATCAAGCTCTGACAACTCATTTTTGGTATTTTTTCTAAATTCATTTTTTAATACCTGCACTGGCCTACACAGCCTACACCCAGATAATTACTGCCCGATTTACTGCACACTCCCTTGATCTGCCTCCCTACTTTCAGCTCCTCCTCCTTCTAACCTTTCTTGCATATGATTGTTCAAATGTCATAGCTGGAAAAAAAAAGAAAAGGTTCATAGACGGCGATTAAAAAAATGGATCTTGAAGTTTGCACAGAATTTTGATGGATGGCAATGGCTCAGAAGGTTCAGATGGAAGAGCAAAAACATGGAGATGAAAATACAGGAAAAAGACATGTTCGCATTCCCCACAGTGTGTACCCAGATACCGCTGAAAAAAGTCATGCAAAGAATTACATGACTGACTGGCTTAAAGGAAACCCAATAAATGCAGCGGGGTATGATGGCAATGCTAGGCACTACTAGACCGCTAAGTGCTCCAGGAATGAGAAAAGTGGGAAAATGTCTCCCTAGTGTCAGGCAACCTCAGACGTGGGAAGGAGCATAGTACCTTTGGGGACAGTGCAAGGGCCTCTGGCTGTAAGTCAACAGTGGCTGAGATCAGACTGAAAAATCCAGAATGTCCACAAACATTTACACTTCTTCTCTTAGATGATCCATGCTCAAATCTTAATTTGCTTAAGAATTACAAGAGCTTATAAAACTAGATCTCTAGTGAGATAATTAACCATTTGTAGAATAAAAATGTTACCATTAACACATTTTTCAGTATAAAAAAAATCAAGCAACACTGTAGGAAAAGAAATCAGAATTTTAAATAGGAGATTTCCCCACCTCTAGATCTGCTTAAAGAGATTAAAAAACAATTCCTTAAAAAAAGGAACCCACCCACATGCCTATAATAATAATATCCTATTTAACAGGTAAATACTCCAAAATAGAAAAATAAATAAATTCCCCCAGGAGTGATCAAAATGTACTTAACAAGCTAACTATCATGTCACTTTAACCTCAGGAAGTTATAGTTTCTCAAATGGTTCATTTGTAATCTATTATGAGATCCCAAGAAATCTTGTAATTCTTAACACTAGAGTTGCCTTTATATTTCTCTTCAAACAACACACGATAAAGACAAGATAGAGGGGCAAAAAAAAAAAAGACAACAGGCTCAGAATGATTGTGTTTCTCGGAGTGTAAAATTTTCCTTAAGGACAGAAATTTTAAAGCATCCCTGAGCCTGTAACACACAGATATCTAGGTCAAGTTTGTCATTTATCTACTACCACTTTCAGACAATGAAATGACCACAGGGCAATTCTGCCCACAGCCGAGTGAGAAGGGGGGTGAGTGAGATTTCTTGGCAGGTGACAAGATATCAAGGCTGGTGGGATGATGCCATTTTCAGTAATACAATGAAAAAGTTCTTGCAGAGACGTGATAGAGCAGCACTGAGAAAAGTGAGGGAAAACTAGGGAAACACAGAGCTCTGCCCAGCCATACACTCCTCAGATGCACCTTTAAACACTGGAAGGCGGGAGGACTCAGCGCACATGACAGATGACACTGTCGCTATGGCCACACCCAGGCCTTCCGCACACTGGCCCTGAAATGCCCTCTTCCCAGCCCTCCAATCCATCCTTGAGCAAGGTGGGTCACAACAGAAACTGTGTCTCCTTTTAGGAAACACCCATCCCAACATTTTTATTTTTTTTGCCAAGATGAAACCAACCATCTGGATAGTAAAGGGACGAAATGCCACAGAAACAGTAATTCAAATTTTGAAAACAATGTTAAGCAAAAGAATTTGTAACCATTCATTTTAACATGAACTCTGTATCACAATTTCAAACCAAGGCTGTGTCATTTTTGTTGCAGGAATACCGAACAACATGGCAGGCACTCATCTCACTGCTGGACATGGATACCAGAAATTCTCTCTCCCACATGGGGATAATACCACCACCAGCAGAGCCTCATGGCACGGAAGTCTTACTCTTGAATAGTATTCACCCTCATTTCAATCAAACCAGAGAAGGGCACAGCTGCTGAAAAAAAACTAGGGGTCAGATTCCAGCAGATACAGAGACCACATTGTACCCACCGCTGGAATGGAAACTGTCTCAACATGCAAATGCACAAGCAAACTAAAAACAGTAGCAAAGGCAGAAAATCAGCTTTTAAAAAATACTCATCCCACCATCTTGCAAACCTCAAAGAGGTGTGTTTAAACTTATTTGATGCTTTATCTGGATGACTACAAGGTGAAACCAAGTAATACTTCTCCAAACTTTCTAATGTTCTTAGTATTGTAGCATTTGCCCAGTAGCACTGAAGAATCAATATATGAAAGGGAGTTTCTATTCAAGCCACAAATATCACAATAGGAAGTAACATTCTCCAAATAATGTTAGAGTATAAGCTATAAATAAGAAAATGTGCTTAAATGTTAAATGAGTCTAGCAAGAGAATGTTTGTATTTCAGACTGTATGA